ACCACTACACTCACTCCTGCCCCCTGAGTCTTTTGAAGTTCTGGTATGCTGCTGGTGTCTTCCGCCATGAAGATTGATGCAAAGTACGTATTCAGTTCCTGCACCATTTCTTTGTTCCACATTACTGTTTCTACAGCCTCGTTTTCCATTGGTGCAAGTTCATTCTTGTCGCTGTCTCTTATCTCTTCTATATCTTAAAAAAACTCCTGCAATCTTATTTTATATTACTAGCTGGCTTCCTCTCATTTCATCTGCTCCTTCCTTATTGCATTTTTAGTTTTATTTTAGATTTTGTTGTCATGTACAGGAGTACAATGAAAAGTGTATAATATCCCCAGACATTGCACCATCTTAGGTACCAAGGTAGCTAGGTACAAAAAACGCTTGGGTAAAAAGTAGTGAGAGAAATGACAGTTAAAAAGCATTACTTCATAGAATAGTAGAAAAATAAAGAAATAGGTAATAGTTTACAGTAAAGTCTTTCTCAGTTTAAACTCGGAAAATATAGGAATAATTTAATGGCTCGGCAGTCTTGGATGAGTCCTCTGTTTTATCTCACTCTTCAGGAAGACCTCAGCTGTCTGTTCTCATTGCTGTTGCCAGAGGTACTGTCGCTGCTGCTGAACCTGTCTCCTCTCTACGATCCGCCGGTGCCTGTCCTTTGGTTTTTAAAGGCTTTTCACTAGTCTTCACCACATTGTATGCTTTTTCTCTAGCTTTTACGCTGTCCCTGACATCTGTTATCAGCAATGGTTGCCTCGTTCACCCCTTGGTTTGTTTCTTCTTCCTTGGGATGAATTTCTGCTGTGCCTCCCAAATTATCACCAGACACTCCTGTCATTGCTGTCCAATGCCTTCCCTACTAGACTCCCCTTCCAATCAACACTGGTCACCTCCTCCCTCTTTTTAGTTAGTTTTACTCACATGTAATACTGTTACATGTGATTGAAGCTTCTTGCTCTCAAACTGCAGGGTGAATTCATTCATTTTGTGGTCACTGCCCCTAGGAGTTTCTTCACCTTAAACTCCCTAAGCAAGTTTGCCTCATTACACATCACCAAATCCAGAATTGCCTGTTCCCTTGTGGACTCTACCACAAGCTGACTAGGTATGTAGATGAAGACAATACTTTTGATATCGTCTAGTTGGACTTCAGCAAAGTTTTTGAAAAGGTCCTAGTTGGGAAACTGGTAGCAAAGGTAAGAGCCCATGGGATCCAAGGAAATTTGACGAATTGGATCCAGAATGGTCGATGAGTGGCAACAAGCAGAGGTTGGTTGAGGGGTGTTTTGTTTAAACTAAAAGTTAAAAAGGGGTGACACGGTGGGTCGGTAGTTAGCACTGCTGCCTCATAGTGTCAGGAACCCGAGTTCGATTCCACCCTTGGGTGATTGTCTGTCTGGAGTTTGCACATTTTCTCTGTCTGCGTAGGTTTCCTCCAGGTGCTTCGGTTTTCTCCCACAGTGCAAAGATGAGTAGGTTAGGTGAATTGTCCATGCTAAGTTGCCCATAGTGTTCAGTGATGTGCAGGCTAGATTGGGATTTGCCATGGGAAGTGTGGAATTACAGGGATAGGCTAGGAGGAGTGGGCTTGGGTGAGATGCTCTTCGGAGGGTCAATGTGGACTCGGTAAGCTGAATAGCCTGCTTCCACATAGGGATTCTATGATTCTAAGCTGCTCCCAAAAAAAATCTCAAATGTTTCATTATTCCTTTACTTTCCTGCACCAACCTGATTTTCTCAGTCCACCTGCTTATTGAAGTCCCCTTGATTATTGTAATAGTGCCTTTCTGACAGCCTTTTTTGTCTCCTGATTTATTTTCTGCCCAACATCCTGACTGCTGCTAGGGGGTCTGTACATAACTCATATCAGGGTATTTTCTTCGATTAAACAAAAAAAAACAAAGAACTGTGATGCTGGAAATCAGAAACTAAAATCAGAAATTACTGGAAAAGCTGAGCAGGTTTGGCAGCATCAGTGGAGAGAAAGCAAACTTATTGTTTCAGGTCCAGTGACCCTTCTTCTCTGAAGAAGAATTTCTGATTTTGTTTCTTTTTCTTTGTTGTTTCTCAACTCTACCCCCACAGATTCTACCCCTTCCAACCTTTATATCATCTTGCTATTGATTTAATTTTATTTCTTACCCAGCTCCCACTTTTAAACTGCCTGCCCTTTTGATTGGATGCTTATTTTTGGATATTTAGTTCCCAGCTTGATCTCCTTTGCAGCTATGTCTCTGTGCAGCCCAGAACATTGTATCTGCCAATTTCAGTCTACGCTACAAGGTCATTTACCTTGCTTTGTATACTGTGTGCATTTAATACAACACCCTCAATCCTGCATCAGCTGCCCTGACCACCTTCTCATAGTTGTTCCCTTATCTGCTGTGCTTGAAGTTAGACTTCTGACCCTTTCCATATTCTTTCTCCTGTTGCTTGTTCTGGAAACTTCACTAATTTCTTCTGAACCCTCCCCCTCTTTTATCTAGTTTAAAGTCCTCGTGACCACCCTATTTAGACTTTCTGCGAGGATCCTGGTCCTAAATTGGTTCAGGTGGAGTCCATCCCTGCAGCACTTTCCTTTCTGTCCACACAGTGATGCCAGTGCCCCATGAAATGGGACCCATTTTTCTTGCACCACTCCCTTAGTCCACTCCTTAGGGGAGGCGATGGCCTGGTGGTATTATCGCTGGACTGTTAATCCAGAGACCCAGATAATGTTCTGGGGACCCAGGTTCGAATCCTGCAATGGCAGATGGTGGAATTTGAATTCAGTAAATATCTGGAATTGACAATCTAATGATGACCATGAATCCATGGTCGATTGACTGGTTCACTAATGTCCTTTAGAGAAGAAAACTATCATCCTACTTGGTCTGGCTTACATGTCACTCCAGACCCACAGCAATGTGGTTGACTCTGAACTGCCTGATGGGCAATAAATGCTGCCTAGCCAGTGACACTCTCATCCCGTGAATGAATAAAGGTGTTTACTTCCCTCAGTTACTTAACACATTTCCAATTTGCACGTAGCTCAGGTAATAATCCCTAGATTACAACCTCTTGAAGTTCTGTTTTTTAATTTTGTTCCTGATAGCCCTCAATCAGGACCTCTTGCCTGTGTTACTGCTGCCAACATGGATCACAACAGCTGGATCTTGCCCCTTCCTCTTCAGTATCCTTTTAAGCTGACTTGAGATGTCCATCACCTTGGCACAAAGTAGGCAACACAGCATGCAGGTCTCTCGATCCTGCTCACAAAAGATGCTATTTGTCTCCCTAATTATAGAATTCCCTCCACCACTGTCACTTTTCTTTGTGCTCCAATGCTTGAATGGCTTCCTGGACCACAGTGGTCAGTTTGACTATTCTTCCTGCAGATTCTTTCTTATCCATACAAGGAGCAAGCACCTCATTCCTGTTGGACAAGGTCAAGAACTTTGGCTCCTCCAATGCTATGTTCAGGATCCCTCTACCTGCCTTACTTATTGTCACATTTCCGGTCCCTGACCAGTGGCCAAAGTTGAAATATTTAAGCTAAAGGGTGTGATTACCTGAAGCCCCATGTCAAGGTAACTCTTCCTCTCTTGGATATGCCACAGTGTCTGAAGCTCTGATTCCAGCTCATCAACTATGCTTAATGTTCTTAAAGTCTTAAAGTCATCGAGTTGTACAGCATGGACACAGACCCTTTGGTCCAACTCGTCCATGCCAACCAGATTTCCTAAATTAATTTAGTTCCATTTGCTGGCATTTGACCCCTATCCCGCTAACCCTTTCTATTCGTATACCCATCCAGATGCCTTTTAAATATTGTAATTGTACCAGCGTCCTCCACTTCCTCTGACAGCTCATTCCATACAATCCTGAAGAAGTTGGAATTTAAGGCTGTTGATGACAGTGTATTTTTTTCCATTCCCATTATTAGTTCAGTTGCTATGGAATTTGAACAAAATTTAGATACCAGTGTTGCTGTGTAGATCTCCACTGAACATGACCTACGTGTTTTAATTGAGGGAGATTTGAATGTCTGAATAAATATCACTTTTACAAAACCTGAGGGCCCCTGCTTTTTCTGTGTGGGGACTTTATTAGCACTCTGCAACTCATTGATTCCCTGGAAGCCACTTCAAAACCGGCAGAAGAGTTTAAGTAGTTAGAGACAGAACTGCCCAAATTGGAAGAGTAACGAAGGAGTAAGATGGCAATGAACATTTGTTTGGTTCACAGGATTATTGTACAGATTTGACAAGTGTATTAAGTGAAAGTAAACTGCTAGAAATTCACCAGATCTGTAGCACCTGTGGAGAAAGTTAAACAAAAGTTAATATTTCGAGTTTGCAGATCTGAAGAAAAGTTATACCAATGTCACAGTTGTTGGAGGCTGAAAAAACCAACAATTTTGTACCAAGTTTCTTCTGCCCTCCTTTTTGATAAATTTTGTTTAATGTTGGATTTGGCAGTGGGCACTTGCTGCCTTACCTAACTAACTCCATGAGGCACCACATAATGAACAGCAGTAGGTTATTAAATCTTGGGATATCGCAGCTTAGACTACATATGTCCTCTGTATCCTATAACTCAAGAGTGAGCAGCATTTCTGCACAGAGTTTAGGACCTTTTGATAAGTTTATCTCTCTAAAACAAGAATGATGAGGTCAAATATAGTGCCCTAGTTAACATCAGTTACTTTTGAGACAGCCAAATACCCTCCTACTGATGGCTTAGCTACTCAGGTTGTTAACCAGCTTCATTGTTAGACATCATGACAAAAAACATTAAGTAGTTTCTTTTTGCATAGAACATGGTAAGCTATCATGTTAGTTGGCATCTGCGATGAAAAGAAATGCCAGATTCAAGGTACGAGCTGAAGATATTTTAATGTATTTATCATATTTTCTAGTAATTCATAGCCATAGCTTTCTTTGAATTTACATGTGAGGTCAATTTTCTTTCCATAAATGCAATGGAAACATGATATTATTTCTATTTCTCAACAGAGCGAACCAGATTTGGAGAAGGGCCTGGAGATGCGAAAATGGGTTCTATCTGGAATCCTAGCCAGTGAGGAAACATACTTGAATCATCTAGAGGCACTTCTTTTGGTATGTACAAGAGTACACTATTTCTGCAGGACAAATCTCTTCACGTTTTCTCATACAAAAGATACAGTCCAGTGAAAATTTGAGAAAGAGTCGAGTAAATTGAAGCACTGTACACAACAGACTACACAAGGCCGATTCAAAAGCACGTTCTGGGCTTTTTGCACACTGCACTGGCCCTACTAATTCCATTCAGCCAGTGGTGTGATAAAAGTACAATAATTCACACGTAATCATACACGTTGAACCCTGAACAGAAACTAAAGAAGTGGCAAACATGCAATAGAAGTGATTTCTCCCTGGAGTACTGCCCTGTCATTTAAGGTCCTGCCTTTTCAACCTTAACGCCCTGCCTGAGGCGTGTTGACCCTCAGGTTAAACTCTGCACAAGCTATCTCTCTCTTTAATGAGAGAGCTTACGGTCCGCTGAGATTGTGCCCACTTTACTTACTGCCCTAAAACCAAAGAACAATACAGCAAAGGAACAGGCCCTTTGGCCCTCCAAGCCTCGATGACACATTTTGCCCTTCCGTACTAAAACATTCTTCACTTACAGGATCTATATCCCTCTATTCCGTTTCTATTCACGCATTCATTCAGGTGCTTCTTGAATGCTGCTATTGTGTCTGCTTCCACCACCACCTCTGTAGCGCGTTCCAGGCACTTACCAACCTTTGTGTGAAAAACCTGCCTTGCATATCTTTTTTTCAACTCCCCCTCCCCCACAGCCCACAAGCCCCCACATCTGGAACCTGTGTACCCTAGTAAATGACCTCTCCACTGTGGGAAATAGCTTTCCACTCTATCCCTGCCATTCACAATCTTATAAACTTCTGTCGGGTCCCCCCACCCCAAAACCACCTGCATTCTGGTGAAAATAACTCAGTCTATCCAACCTTTCTTCATAGCTAAAATCCTTCATACCAGGCAACATCCTGGTAAACCTTTTCTGTACCCTGTCCAACACATCCACATCCTACTGGTAGTGGGGTGACCAGAACTGTACACAACATTCCAAGTGTGACCTAACTAAAGTTCTATAAAGCTGCAGCATAGCTTGTCTATCCTAATACTCAGTGCACCTTCCATTGAAGGTGAGCATGCCATACACCTTTTTTGCCTCCTTATTTACCTGCGCTGTCACCTTCAGTGATCTGTGGACCTGCACGCCTGGATCAGTACTGCTAAAGGTTCTGCCATTCACTGTATAATTTCCACTTATACTCGACCTTTCAAAATGCATCGCCTCATATTTGTCCGGATTAAACTCTTATCTGCCATTTTTCTGCCCATGCCTCCAACTAATCTATATCCTGCTGTATCCTCTGACAATCCTCCTCACTATCAGCAACTCTGCCAATCTTTGTATTGTCCGCAAACTTACTAATTAGACGAGCCATGTTTTCCTCCAAATCATTTCTGTAGACCACAAACTGCAGCACTCCCAGCACTGATCCCTGTGGAACATCACTTGTCACAGTCCTCCATTCTGAAAAACATCCTTCCACTGCTACCCACTGTCTCCCTATGACTAAGCCTGTTCTCTATCTATCTTGCCAGCTCACTTCTGATACTATGTGACTTCACATTTTGTACTAGCCTGTCAAGGCGGACCTTGTGCATAGGCTTTACTGAAGTCCATATAGACAACACCAATAGCTTCTCCCTCAACAATCATCTTTGTCACCTCCTCAAAAAACTTGATCAAGTTAGTGAGGCACAACCTCCCCTGCTCAAAACCATGCTATCACTAATAAGTCTATTCGCATGTGGATCTTGTCCCTGAGAATCTTTTCCAGTATCTTTCCCTACCACTGAAGTGAGGCTGACAGGCCTGTAATCTCCTGGATTATCCCTGCTACCCTTCTTAAACAAAGGGACAACATTGGCTATTCTCCAGTCGTCTGGGACCTCACCTGTGGCCAAAGAGATGTCTGTCAGTGCTCCAGCAATTTGTTCTCTTGCCTCTCTCAACATTCTGGGATAGATCACAACAGGACCCAGGGACTTATCGACCTTACTACCTTTTAAGACACATAACACCTCTCCCTTTTTAATTGCGAACTTGGATTAGAAATTCCACACTCTATTCTCTGAGATCATCCTTCACCAATTCCTTCTCTTTGGTGAATACTAACATAAAATATTCATTTAGGACCTCACCTACCTTTTCTGGCTCCACAACTAGTTTTGCTCCTTTGTCTTTGAGTGGGCCAACCCTTTCCCTGGCTACTCTTGCTTTTTACATATGCATAAAAAGCCTTGGGATTCCCCTTAATCCTGTTTGCTAATGACTTTTCATGACCCTTTTTAGCCCTTCTAATTCCTTGCTTACGTTCTTTCCTACTTATATACTTGAAGGGCTTCATCAGTTCCCATCCTCCTAGATCTTATGCATGCTTCCTTTTTCTGTTTGACCAAGGTCCCTGCTTATCCAAGGTTCACGTAACTTGCCATACCTATCCTTCATTCTCACAGGAATGTGCTGCTCCTGAACTCTTGGCAACCGCCATTTGAAATATTCCCACATGTCCGATGTGGATTTACCCTCACACAGCCACGTCCGATCAAAATTTTTCAGTTCCTGTAGTTTGCCTTCCTCCAATTTAACACCTTCACCTGAGGACTGCTGTTGTCCCTATCCATGAGTATCTTAAAACTTTCGGTATTATGGTCAATACACCCAAAATGCTCCCCACTGAATGTACACTCACTTGGCCGGGCTCGTTTCCCAAACCAGGTCCGGTATAACCCCTTCACTGGTTGAAGTATTTACATACTGTGTCCAGAAACCCTCCTGAATTTTTCTTAAAAATTTTGCCCCATCCAAGCCTCTGGAAGTGAGTCCCAGTCAATATGGGGTGGCATGATGGCTCAGTGGTTAGCACTGCTGCCTCACAGCATCAGGGACTTGGGTTCAATTCCTGTCAGTGTGGAGTTTGCACATTCTCTCTGTGTCTGTGTGGGTTTCCAGCAGGTGCTCCGATTTCCTCCCACAGTCTAAAGATGTGCAGGCTAGGTGGATTGACCATGCTAAATTGCCCAAAGTGTTCAGGGATGTGTAGATTAGGTGTGTTAGCCATGGGAAATGCAGGGTTACAGGGAAAGGGTAGGGTGATGGGTCTGGGAAGGATGCTTTTTAGAGGGTCGGTATGGACGTTTTGGGTTGAAGGGCCTGTTTCCACACTGTAGGGATTCTTTAAAAAAAAGGGCAAGTTAAAAGCACCCACTACAACAATCCTGCTGTTGTTTCATCTTTCCAAAATCTGCCTACATATTCTCTCCTCTATATCCCACTGGCTATTTGGAGGCCTGTAGTATTGTGACTTCACCTGTCCTATTCCTGAGTTGTACCCATATTGCCTCACTGCACAAGTCCTCTGATGTATCCTCCCTCAGCACAACTGTGACGTAGTCCTATACCAGCAATGCAACTCTCCCATCCCTTTTATATCCTCTTCAATCACACCTGAAACATCTAAATCCTGGGACATTCGGCTGCCCGACCTGACCCTCTTTCAGCCAAGTCTCTGTAATCGCAATAATATCATAGTTCCAAGTATTAACTAAAGCTCTAAATTCATCTACCTTGCCTACTATATTTCTCGCATTGAAACATATGCATTTCAGACCACCTCTCCTGCTGTTTTCAGCAGCGTTTCCTTGCTTGTTCCTCTTCTTAGTCATGTTTGCCTTGTTTTCTGTCTCTCCCTCAATTTCTGCATCTACTGCCCTACTCTTAAGGTTCCCTTCTGCCACATTATTTTAAACCCTCCCTAACTACTGTACCAAGTACACCCTCAAGGACGTCAGTCCTGGTTCTGCCCAGGTGTAACCTGTCCAGTTTGTTCAGGCCCCGCCTCCTCCGGAACTGGTCCTAATGCCCCATGAATCTGAAACCCTCCCTCTCTCGCTGTTATCACATGATTTCCTAACCAGAGAGATTTACACAATATGAAGAAGTTACATGACAAACAAGCCAGTGGCTTAACTAGTAACTCATCAAGCCTACTTTGATATCACTTTCCAGACCCATGACCTCTGCCACCTAGAAGGACAAGGGCTGCTGATGCATGGGAACCTCACCATCAGAAAATTAACCTCCAAGCACACACCATTCTGACTTAGAACTATATAACCAATCCTTCACTGTCGTTGTGTCAAAATCACGGAACTGCTTTCCTAACTGCTCTCTGTTTCATATTCATATACCATGGACTGCAGTGATTCAAGAAGGAAGCTCGCCATCATATTCTCCAGGGCAGTTAGGAATGGGTAATAAATGTCGGCTGAGCCAGTGACACCAACATCTCGTGCGTAGATTTTTAAAAGTGTTTAATTGTATTAACCCTTTGCATGAACATGTTATCATTTATCTACCTAAATCTCATGTTTTTTGGAACTTTTCCTTGGTCTTTCAATATAATCTTGACGAGGACAAGAATTTATTGGGTAAAAATACCAGCACTAGTGTAACAATTCACAGCACTAAGTTACGATGTAAAGCAGTTTTCTGTTGTCCTCGCAAATGCCATTTGGAGTTTCATATTGCAGTCACACATCTGAGCAGTGAAAGTATGGGATACGAAGAAAATACAGGGAACACGTAGGATTCTGATTGCCGTTTGAAAGTGAAGAAAAGAGTCCAGTTTCAAATTATTCAAGGAGGGAGCAAGGCAAAAACCAGGAAACTGCAGGCTAATCAGTCTAACCTTGGTGATGGAAACAATTCTGAGATACAGAATGAGTCTGCTTTTTGGAGAGGCAGAGATTAATGAAGAACAGTCAGCATGGTTTTGTTCAGGAGAGTTCATGTCTGACCAACTGCATTGAATATTTCAAAGAGGTGACCACGTGTGTAGATGAGGGCAGTGCTTTTGATGTAGTCTAGTTGGACTTCAGCAAAGTTTTTCAAAAGGTCCCAGTTGGGAAACTGATCACAAAAGTAAGAACCCATAAGTTCCAAGGAAAATTTAGCAGTTTGGATCTGGAAGTTAAAAAGG